CTTCTTTAGACAAAGGTACCACCTCTCGGTCCACATCGGTCCCCGTGTCTACCTCATCCATAGCCATCCCCTCTAAGACATCACCTTTGTCATATTTAGAGTGTCCCTCGTCCGTTTCAATCCGATCAATTGACTTACAAGTGATTTCGAGTCTTCCCTGCTTAACTTGATTATGTGCCGATTCCTTCTTATTCAAGCCCGATGCTTGTTTTCCAACAGCTGGATACTCATCCATACCCACCCCATACCTGTGGCAGCACAACAACTTCTTGGGACCCATTTCATACCCACTTCCCACTAGCCTAATCAATTCCTCCAATGCTCCTTTCAATTCCTGGACACGAGCCATAATTTCAGCCCTATTCAAACAACAATCCTGACCTTCGTTTACACTGACATTGACAGTCATCTCCTTTTGCTGTTGCTTCCGCTGGTCAACATGTTTCAAGGCATGTAGGTTTGCTGTTATGTCTGCATAAGTCAATCATTGTCGATTACGTTCATTCACAGGTCGACGTTTGGCTTTATCCCCCGCAACAAAAGAATCAACAGCAGTTTGAAACACCCGCGAGATTGATGCCCATCCTTCTCCATTCGCACCTTCCGGCACCATCACAACTCCCTTTCGACGCCTATCCCCAAACTGCGCTATCATCAAGTACATACCACGACGGTGTGCACAGCGCTGTGCCAAGAAGGCTCTTGAAGACTCATTGAATCTAGAAACGAAATCATCATGCTTACTAGTCACCCTCAACTTGTCCACCATATTCACCATCCAACGTGCACCGAACCTTCCCATGTTAATTGCATTCGATATCTTTGAGCCCCATTCGGTCATTCTAACAACGCCAAGATTAGTAACAGAAATTGCAAACTCCTTCGCCTCAACTCGAAAACGGTGATTGAAGGCCACATCTAATTCATCCACTAACTTGCTTCCCTGATTGTGTGATAACGGCATATTGGACGGCAAAACAGGCATCGTTACTGGACTGGGGACATTCTGCCCGTCATCCTGATTTTTCGGTGCCGGCGCGTGACTGACACGCGCCGTCACACGCGCCGTCGGAACGGCGCGTGGGTCACTCAACTCTGTCCCCCCGGCCGGAATCGCTTGCGCATAACGCCGGTCAAGCGCGTTTGCCAGGCAGGTGGCCGGATTTTTCTGAATCTGGAACGGGCAACCCTGTTTACCGGCCTCTTCTCCGATCTCGACATCTGTGTCTCCAGCTAGGGCGGCGGTGCTAGGGTTTCCACCTAGGGCCGCCGCCTGATTATGTGGCTTATTTAGTGGTGTAAGGCCGGTGAATGGTTGTCGATCGATGTGATGTCGCCGGCGACTGTAGCGGTCGGTGGTGATGGGGTGTTCGGGGGCTGGCTAATAGTGTGATGTTTGGATGCTAGGGAGGAGAGATCCATTCTGTTGGAGATCCCTCTTACAGTAAATTCAAGGATGGTTCTTCAATTCTTCAAGACCCAAGATATTTTAAAAACATCAATAAGAAAAAAAGGTTTTACACCATAAAAATAAAATTAAGAAATCAAAATCAGATTAATTTTTTAACATTGTTTCAATTGATGTGTCCCCGACGTCTCCAACTTAATTTGAAAAAACAGTGACTATTTTCCCTTGTCGGTGCTTTTTTTGATAAACAAAATGATCTTTAAAATATTGGCTTAGTTGTAGTTTCCCAATTTTTGTGCCATGTCTCCAGTGTGTTGGGATGAGCAAAACACAAACATAACACCTGACATGTCAGGCAATGACACTCAAAACTGACATATAATGTGTTTTTCTGGGACGTTCCCCCTCCAATTAATAATCATCTAGATATCCCATAACGTCCCAATTTAACTGAGCCTCAGACAGATTCAATTTTACAAGAAATAACTTGAGATTGGAGAAAAGAACAAAGTTAAGAGGCATGCCATAACCTCTTACAACTGAAGTGTGAATATCCCCACCAACCACCACCAGCACCACCCATGAACACGCTACATTGATGTTTCAAAGTTTCAGCACAGGTCAACAGTTGAGGCACGTATCACATTGGGGGTTATACAGCGAGGTTCTCAAAATTAACAATCCCAGAGAAAAATTATCTGTAAACTAGACTAATATTGTGAGACATGGATTTACACACTAGGCATGCAAACATTAATATACTAAATGTTGTTAAACACTAACCAGAGATATCTGGAAAGCCTGAATGATGGTTGGTGATTCATTACTGACATGGTGATTCTTGATGACATATTCAAGAAATCTTTCCACCATATGCATGACGTCTTCCTGCATTTGATGCCATATGAACATATTAGATAGTAAAAGAAACAACAGGGGATTTTATCAGAACATGGTGTCGCATAGTTCAGAATGTTCTTGTATACAGTAGCTAGCACTTCAAAATCCTACATACTTGACAAGAATTTTTCTTCCTTCTGATATCTTGGAATAGAACAACTATATAGTTCCAAATTGTAAAACAAATTCACCCACACCATTTCAGATAAAGAAAGAACCTGGTATAAAACAAACAGAGAAATCAAAGCGGTTTCTAAGGATTCATGACAGAATATTAAAAACGTAAATTAAGAAAAATAGAATGATTTGGATTTTATATAATTTTCAGATTAGATTAAAATGGTTTTGACGATATTTTTATGCTGTTAGACAGAATATTGGTTCCCTTTGATTCAAGTTTTATACAAGTGTAAAAAGGGAACAAGATTTTCAGATTCTATACAATTTGAGTACTAATTAGAACTGAGGTTTTTCTTTGTCTGATATTGCTGAATTGTTTTCGGCTTTGCATAGTGGTCCTTGTCGCTATGTCCCTCTGAGGAACATAGCAGCCACGAGCTTGCTGCTCATGCTTGTATGACTGAGGAGTCTGCTTTTTGGCTTCATTGTTTAACATCTTTCCTGTCATTCGCTGTTTGCAGTGAACTAACTCAATGAGAATTTATGGTTTAGATTTTTTTTTTTTTTTTGATAGGTAAATTTATGGTTTAGATTTAAAAAAATAAAGAAAAGAAAAGAAAGAATTGAGGTTTTTCCTCTTCTCAAATTTCTCTTTTCTTTCTCTTCATTCCTCTCCATTAAAAGAGCATTAAGGTTCGATATGTTTATTCCCAAGAAAGTCGTGTCAAGTGAAAAAATATCCAAGCAGCAGCCATGTTTACAATGTCAATTCATATTCTGGGGAGATACCACTACATCTTGGCGATTACAGGCACCAAGGTAAGGAATTTTTTAACGTGGATGTAGGGGATCCTATAGACAAATCGACTACCCGGTTATGTGTAAGATCCTTTCATACCATCTCATCACATGAGATTGTTATTGTAGTCTACTGGTCAAAATCAGCTTGACCTTGAACTCACCATGGATGAAATCACGCAATACAAAATTACCGGTTCAATATAAACTCCGAAGG